TAACACTGTAAAAAAAAGGGAGAACGCTTCATCCCCTCTACACCTACCAATGGCATATCCTGATCATGATGCATTATAACTCCAAGCAAATTCTTCATCGACTACAGCAGGACGCGTGACGAATCACAGTCCACGATCATAGACCTTATCCGACGATTCGAACTCGTGAGAGAGAAACGGCATCGCACCACGCTGCTATAACGAGTGCACCTTCACGCAGAAGGTCGCAATATACATTCCCCCAGTTATTTATACCTCACCAGGCTCACCTAGACTACACCCGTACACCGGCAAGATCTGTTCGTTACAAGCCGTCGGATCAGCGGTTCCATTCAGACGCCTCAAGATCGTGAACTCTTCGTTACCGTACAGTAGATATTTACCGTGTAAACAAAAAAAAAAAAGAAAGAAGCTCAACGAAAAAAAAGATAGTAAAAAAAAAAAAAAAAAAAGTTACCGTGTGATCCATTCGTTGCAGGGGGACTGATTGCTGCCGGCTCTACCAACTCAGAGCTTGGGACTTAGGTCACTTAGCTCCCAAGCCGAGAGCTCTTCCGGCTGAAATGAACCACTTCACATCGACTTCTCCCTTTCGACCCTAAGCTTGGGGTCAGCCACGCGGAATGCCTTACTTTCTTTATTACTGAGGTAACTTCTTCAGTACAGTCACAGAAACAGTTTGAAACTACTTGCGACACTCTGTCACTTTCGACTTGCCTGCCAATGCAAAACCTCCTCTCCAATTACCCACTCAACCTTATGAACTCCTTTCTCTCTCGGTTATTCCTCGTGACGATGAGCTCGACGCTATTATTTCCGTGAAGTGAATTTCTCTTCACGGGCGCTCGCAGTGACTCCCGTGAGTTCTTGCGCCTGTTGGGATTTCTCCCTGTCGTTGTGAACACCTCCTCCTGGTGGATTTTAAAAAACGACCCCACCGGTCCACCTGGACTTCCTTTCTTTCTAAAGCTAAGCTATATTCTTCTCTCAAATTCACGTTTCATTACCTAGCTACCACGACTCCTAAAAGCCTATACGGGGGACCCCTGCAAGCATAGCTACCTCTCACAATCAAGGGGATGCATGCTGCCCCCGGCCCCTAGCTACCACTACTCCTAACCCTATACAGGGGACCCCTGCAAGCATAGCTACCTCTCACAATCAAGGGGATTCATGCTGCCCCCCGCCCCAATCGGCGGGCGCCCCAATCGGCGGGGGTCATCGAAGAGGGTGGGGGGGAGGGGGACCGGCTTACGCAAAGACCGAGAAGTTTGCCACTAGCTGTGCCTCCCATCCACTTTCCCCAACCCCCGTCGAGTAACAGCAGCGTTTATGACGAGCACCCTCACACCTTCACACCTTCACAGCCTCTCTCTCTCTCTCTCACACACACACACACACACACGTGTGATGGCCAAATACTGTACCAATACCGGCTGGGGTTAGCAATCCAGCTATCTCAATTGATTGACACCAAGTATGCCCAGGCGGTCAGTGCGGATTGAACTCAAGACCTGCCGCCGACTGCTACTTGCATTCCTGACGAGCCGAGCTACGCCGTCCGTTCGACCACGACGTCGTACGTACAACAGGTCCACCACAAAAGCTCTTCAATACCTCGACTTTGCAACAGGGGCACTCGATCCGGTACTCCGCACAACCTGATCGCCGTCCATCATCTGGAGACGAATCCACATATGGGACACGGGTCGAATTTTCCGTCTTGCATCGTCGCAGATGTGCGCTTCCTCGGGACTTCCAAGGGCCGCACCATCTCCCGATGTCCTTTTCCTCTGCCTTTTCGGCCAAACAACAAGTGTATTTTGGACTGGACAATTGATGGGGAGGAGAAGCTTCGGGACTATGTTTGCGCGCCACGGAGTTATGAGGAGAGTCTGGAGACTTGTCAGCATGGGACGGATTGGAACCAGCTCCAACATCGGGGGGCCGACTGGAACCAGCTCCATCGGAACCAGGTCCATTAGGGTCTGGCTTCGTAGTCCCACTGGCATTACGATCTGGCCCCCCGTCAACGACACCATTAGCAATCTTAGCAGGAAGGATGTTTCTGAAAGGACACGTAGCGACGTGCTCCTCCAGATCACCATAGTCCCTTCTATGACGACAACCGGATGCGTTGAATGGACAAGGTCGAAGGCAATTGTTCGCCCGATGACCTTCCATCGAGTCATTTGCACCTATCCGAGAGCCACACTTCTCGCACAATTCTGTATTCGCGTTGAAGCAACAACACCTCTCGTGAATCTCGAGATTGACGAACGGAACGCTAACTTTGCATCCGTCTTTCTGAAACCGACAAGGTTGAAGGCATTCGTTAGCAGGATGGCTGTCCATCGACTCATGCGCACCTAGCCGAGAGCCACTATTCTCGCACAATCGTGTACTATTGAGATTAAAGCGGCAAGATATCTCATGACTCGCGCGAGAGCGGGACAGAACAGTAGTTTGACATCCCTTTTGTTGAAACGAGCACTCCACGGGACGGTAATCGCAGGTGCGAACATGACCCTCCAGGTCGTTAAGAGCCATCTGTTTCGAACAGAATTGTGGCTGCACCAAGTCATCCTGCTGGTCCTGATTCAACAGACCGGCTGCGGGCTGCTGCAAAGCCGTCGGCGGAACAAATTGGTTAGAACACACATCGTAAGTGAGTGAAAACGGGCAGCGCACTCGCAAGCCCAAGAGGAAGTTTCGCTTCTCCGTCGCCGGAGAGGAACTTTGCCTTTCTGCGCAACGTCTACGGCATCTGTACAATGGACATAGTCGATATTTCGGTTTTTTAGACATGACTTTGCTCTGAATACAACTACCACAGAGCGTGTGGTTGCAAGGATTGACGGTAGTTGCGTCTAGCATGAGTACCCTGCACAGCTCACAAAAGTATCGAGGGGGAATCTGGGAGCAAAATATTTCCAGTCTTTTGTCCCTGCAAGGAGCTCGCATTGAGTGACGAGAGCCAGACACTAATACCGTCCCGACGCGAGCGAAGCCGACGTGTGGACCGGCGGGATCGCCGGCTAGGGCGTCCGTGTAGTGGTAGATGTACGACGACAAGAATCTCTCCAGATCATCCCATGACTGGAGGGGATCCGCTTCAGCTGTGATCTCCATGATTACTTGGATTGACCCTGTCCCTGCCAAACGGGGATAATGAGAAAGAGCTGAGTCGGGGAAAGAAAAAAAAATAGTGGGAGATCGGGAACGGCAAGTGCACAGTTCGAATCCTAATCTAGAGTCGAATCAAGAAAAGAATTTAGGCAGGCAATGCCTGGAGGATGGTCGAGAGAGAGCTACAAGCTAATGCGTGCACGATAGCCTTTGGTGAGGAAACCACCTCTGTTCCTATCTTTGTTCCATGTCGAGGAATGAAAAAAACAGAGAGAGAGAGAGAGAGAGAGAGAGAGAGAGAGAGAGAGAGAGAGAGAGAGGGGAGACGGCACGGTGTGGGTGAAAGAAGTGAGGGTAATCGAACGGGCAGGACGGGGACCACCACAGCTCTCTGGAGAGCACTATGACTTTGTAGCGAAGAAGGGCGCGCTCTCCATTTTGAACGTAATCTGAACGAGAACTTCCGCTTTGCACCTTCCCTCTATAGTCTCGTAATTTTCGAGACGGCATGGATTTACTTGGCTGCTCGCCGCTTCTACGCCTCAACCTTTTTCTGCACCCCTGATCCAAAACCACAGCCAGCACACTATAAGCTTTGCATCACCGGAAAAGAAAAGAAGAAAAAAAAATCATATCCACCTCAACACCAAGTGGAGAAAGATCTTCATTTCGAAGTAGCACCTGAGAATGAGAGGAGCAGGGGAAAAAAAAAAAAAAAAGAAGCATAAAATGGACAGAAAAATGCGTCTTCACTGGACTAGTGGCTTTGTTTTTTTTTTTCTTTTGGTGTGTAATTGTGACCATTTGATCCATTTCTGGATTTGTGTGTGTCATCCTTCTTTTTTTTTTTTTTTTTTTTTTTTTTGTATGGTAGTCTTCGCTCTGCATGGTTCCAATCTTCACCGACGTCGGGAAGAACAGCTTCCACTTCAGAGTCTCCTGTGATCGAAGAGCAGAGTCCAATTTTACCTCTCCTGTTTTGCAGAGTCCTTTAATTTACCTTTAACCAACACCAATCGCTTCGATTTGACTGAAGAGCAGAGTCTCTTACAAAGGTTAGCCTGCGACCTGGGTGGGGCCCTCCGATAGTAATCAGCCATCGGACAGATAAGGTAGGTGCTAATGTGTGGCAGTCTTCATCCTGATAGGTCTGCTGGTAGCTATGGTTGACCTCGGATTAGACCGACCCACTGTTTCATCCGAAACAGTTCCAAAAACTGACCTTACAAACGAAAAGAAAACGGGAAACGACGCTGAATGGTGGCCATACCGGTTGAAAGACAGTAAAGACCGAAAGATGTAAGTGCAAGGGCCCAACCGCTTTTTTTTTTTCTGGGGCCACCTGGTATCCATGGGGAGTTGATTGCTTTTCTGCTCCTACGACGAGCAAGGTCGCATCCTCTTTTCTTTTTTTTTCCTCCCTTTTTTTTTCTTGGATCATTTCTCGATTTACGTGTGTCATCCTTGCGCAGGGGCCATGCTAATCTTCTCCCTATCGTTCCAGTTTTAACGGATGTCCCGAAGGACCGGTCACATTTGCCCCGTTTAGTTGAGGAACAGTTTTGAGAGGGTCTTCGATGTGCCAGGCATGCCCTTGTGTCGTTAATCAACCGTGAGATGCTCACATCTAATCGATCAGGTCTTTCTTCTTCGGCTTGGATCCAACCCTGTGACCCCTGTCCACTCCGATCCGATCCGATCCGATCCGTTCTTATCTGGTTCCCAAGGTGATCAGGCATGCCTATGGGCCTTGCTCCACCACTCACTACATGCACAAAAGAAAAGAAAAAAAATGGCCGTGTATCTGCCTATGTTCTAGCGGAAGGTTCATTCTCAGTTTGCACGTTTGGTGAGTAGTGGAGCGATGCCCAATGTGTAATGAGTGAATGGTGAGATGTCTATACTGAATCGGCCAGGTGTCCGCTCTTCAGATCGCGTCCGATCCAGTCCAGTCTGATCCGATCCGATCTATCCGTGCAGTTCCTCTTTGTTCACATGGAATCGCTCAGGTCCTCTTTTACATTCGGATCGGAACCAATCCAGTCGAGACCGACGGGATCTGTTCAGATCCGTTGCTACCTTTTCACATCCAATCGCTCGTATCCATTGCTATCATCATTTCAAATTGAATCTCTCGTCTCCCTTCCTCCGATAGAATCGGATCCTGTGCACTCCCATCCGATCCAATCCGTTCCTACCTATGCACGTCGAATCGCTGAGGTCTCCATTCCTTACGTCGGATCCGATCTTAGTGAGGGTCGATCCGATCCGATCGGATCCGACCCTATTCGCATCGAATCGCTTGTGTCTCAACTTCTCCAAGCAGAGTCGAGTCGCTTCACTCCGACCCGAGCCGACGCGATCCATGCCTATCTATTCTCAAAGGATTGGTCAGGTCTCCGTTCTTCGAATAGGATCCGATCCACTCCGGTCCGATCCGGTCCGATCCGGTCCGATCCGGTCCGATCCGATCCGATCCTATCTTATAGGATCCGATCTGATCCGATCCGATCCCTTCCGGTTGGTTGACATAACTGTTAGATCGCTCTGAGATCCGATCCGATCCCTTCCTCTTGGTTGAGATAACTGTTAGATTGGACTGGATCTCCGATCTACTTCTGAATGGGATCCACTCCGGTCGGACCGAAGCGCCGATTTTTTTTTTCTTGGGCAAATTGCAGATATACCGGTTCAAAGAAGTATTCGTAGCAAAAACACCGGTCGCCCTTTTTTCTTTCATTATCTTGTAAACTTTGCGATGGCTGACAGCACTAAGCTGCAAAAATGAATTGAATAAAGCGAGGGAGTTAGTGCGCAGCTGCGTGCCCGAGAGAGATTAGTGTACGGGTCAGTCAGCCTTTCTCCACGGGGTCTTCACATTTCCGGGTTTGAGCAACATTAAAACTAGTCCAAGCACTTCAAAGATGAAACCAGAACAAGACAGAGACCAGGTAAGTGATAGGAAAAGAAAACCCCTGAGCGCATCAATGCAATGCGTAAAATATTCAATAAAGCACAAAATGAAGTAGGCGCAAAGCGCCATAGCTTGATAAACCGCTGACGTAACTACCCTACACGTGTTTCGGCCGGGCTGTCAGACCACCGGTCATCATCAGGGGCTTGCGCTAGTGCAGTGGTTCCCAAAAAAAAAAAAAAAAAAAAAAAAAGACGCTAGTGCAGTGGTTCACATGTCCGGGGCAGCTTCGAAAAATACTCATGAACTGTTGAAATACAGACCTGTGTTCGAATCCAGATGATGGAATTTGACGAGTAAAACCAACTACTAATGAATTGATTGGGGCCGGTCAGCTCAATGATAACATCTCAAGGCCGTCGCCCTTTTTGAAAAAAAAGAAAACTACTCATACCAGCACGGTCGCACCTTCACCGTAAGTTTCTTTTAGTTTTTTTTTTGTTTTGTTTTGTTTTGTTTTTTTTAGCACCTTCACCGTACGTGTCACGCCTTCACCATCAAAAGAAGAATGGCGTGGCGTGGCGTGGACAATCAGCAACAAGCTTCACATGTCTATCACGAGATGCTTGCAGATAAGGGAAACCAATGAGCGGGGATTGAATCGCGTGATGCCACTCCAGCGCAAGAGCAAGAGCATCGGAACATGTGATGTGAACAACACAGTGAACGCGTGACTTACACACAGGTGGGAAAAAAATCACTGGTGGAAAAAAAATCACCCTTTTGAGCTGCGTAATCGCATGACAAACAACCTCCAATGACCTGACCAGGCAATGGTATGTAGCAGGCCATAGTCATTCTGTTTGCGCCGCAAATGAATGAGAATGACACTCGGGAGTTTCTATTTCCCGGTTTCCCAAGGAGGGAGGGTTTTGACATAACCATTGTCCTGGCTCTTCACAGGAGGGGAAAAAGAAGGGTAGGGTTAATTTCAAAAATATTGCCTTTTCCAAGTTTGGCGGACTAAGCTCATAAATTTTCTAGAACGACATCACCTTCACGACCGTGATGTCCTCTGGAAAACCTCGCAAACAGCGTTTTGAGGCCTCATTTTTTTGCGCTAAAAAAAAAATCAAGGAAAATTTCAAAATTTGACATCAGCTGTAGAGATCCGCCATCACCAAGCCTGGTGGCTACGAGGGGCAGATGTCATACAATCAAGACGAGAATTATTAATTGCCAAACAATTGCAACGAATTTTGTCAAGTAGGCATCGCATCTCTGATGATCAGTTGCTCGGCAAATACGACAGAATATATCAGATAGCCAGTAACTATGAGAGTAGCTGGCGGTCCCCAAAAAAAAAAAAAAAAAAAAAAAAAAAAAAGCCGGGCC